TTTATGATTGATTTCGATAGCAAAAATCCTCAGGAATACGTAGGAGCAAGAATTTTTAAAAAAAAAAATATACTTTTTGAGATATTAGCAATTGTTTAAACAAAAAGTTAATAACTTTCGAAAAAAAATTTTTATTGTTTATTGTTGTAATTATTTCGAAATTTTAAGGCATTATAAGTATTTTGAAAAAAATCCGACTTCGATATCTTTATTAGTTCTTAAAATATAGCTGTTTGAAAATTTTTTATCATTTTTCTTTAATTGTTAATAACTTTTGATATAATTAATGTATCGTCTCCAAAATTTGGGAAAAATCTCAGTTTTATGTGTACAACAATTGTGCCAAATTAAAAAAAAATCCGTAACCTAAGGGTTACAAGTCAATCGAAATAGCCTAGAATTATCCATATACAGAATTTAAAGATTAATTATATTGAAAAATAGTATTTTCTATGTAATTGCTTGATATCCTTTGATTTAGTTTGCTGTAAAAAATACCTGGAAAAAAATTGGGACCTAAGACTTTGTTCTATTGATTTGAAGGAAGAAAATGAGCCTTCAAGCAATTTTTTTGCTCAAAGTAGTAGAGGCATGAAACTTTTTGAAAATTGGTTTTAAAAAACCTTTAATCAGCAATAACTTGGGTTTGAAATGGTCTAAGAAATTCTGGAGGTGACCAAAATTCTTCTTTTTATATGTAGAATACATGTGTGAAGTTCAATAAAAGTTGATTGTCAGGAAAGACTTTTAGATTTCTGACTAGAAACCAAAGATGTTTGGTCGAATACATTATATTGGATATATTTGATATTTTCATGGTGGAGCATCGTATAAACATTAAAAATGATCAATTTAAACTGAATATATAGCTCAAGAAGTATATAGCGACAAGATTCTGATTCATAAATCAAATTAGTAAAACATAGTGCACATACTTTAAAATTATTTTTCTTCAGTGTTGAGTTTTTAAAAAAGGTGTATGAAACCTCCATGCAAAATAATCTAGCCCAGAGAGATTTCTCGAAAGTCTACGAAAAATGATTGTTGGTAATAATTGGTTGGCAAGACATTCCCAGCTATACCACCAGTAACTAGACATACGTAAGTATATGAAACAGTAGGTTACGGAGTCTATGTCAGAAGTAAAAATTCATTACTATACAATTCTCAATAATTCTACTTTGAATATTTATTTCGTTAATTTTAGCTTTAACACTAGCTGGTCCTCTTAATGATCTTCTTGTTCAACTTGATCATCTTATTATGACATATGCAGATGACACTTGATTTTGTAAGAATCAAAATGTTGATAACTTCTGTTTTTTTGGTACGCAGTAACAATGTGTCCATTGATTAGAATATATTTATAGCAAATAATAGAATAAAACTAACAGGAAGTTGTTATTATCTAGGGTGGAATTTTGACTTTAATATGAAGTGGAATATCAACATGTAAGGCTTAATAAAAAAATTGGATATTTTATTTTTGTTATAGCTCAACTAAAAGAACACCCGATTTGAAGTCTTACAAATACCAAAGAGTAGTGAAATTATAATAAACAAACAAAGATACATGGTTTCAGTTAATGTATTCAATAATTTACTGAATGAATATAAACGTATTAAAGGTAGAATACTATTAATAGAGAAGAAACTTGGAGTTTTTATTTACTGTAAAATAAATAAATATATTCCATCTTTTCTGTACATATTGATTTCAATGATAATTTCTTAATATGCTTCATAAACTTTATTGAAAAATAGTCACATAAATAATTAAAAACTACACACCTATGCTCAAATCCTGAATCTATTATTATTGTTATAGATTATTTTCTTCTTGAAAATAAATTCCACTGATTCACTGTATATTAAATAAAATGGATTTCATTACATAAAAGGAAACCTTCAGTTACAAAACATTTTTTTTTGCAAAGGCCGGTTGTTATTTGATTTGATGCAGGAAGTATGTACGTTTGACCTAGGTCTAAGGCTGTCAAGAGTTTGTTTAATAAATTCGACCGGTCCGTTTTTTCAGGTCGAGTCCGCATTCCACTTTCTTTCAGATCATGTTGTTATTACAAATTGATACATTTATACTGAATTACAGTACGTAAACACAGCAATCAAGAGTGAAATAATTTGTATATAAAATTATGAATATTAGAATCAATCATTCACTTTGGAATGTGTATAAAATAACGATACTAGTAAAAACTTCACATTCAATAGATGCAGCAGCTCAACTTGAAGGAATCTCCAGCTCCATAAGACATTTTATGTCTTGCGGGCCGAAATGCTCGGTCGATAACCCGCTAATTTCGGCCTCCCAAGACAGAAAAAATGCTGAACCAGATAGTATATCCGACTTCCATATGAATCCTGTACATTTTTGACCCCAGGTATTCGCCATCTTACCCGGAGACATCACAAGGCAAAATGCCTCATTGATATCAGAAATACAATTATTTGCAAAAAATAATCTCTACGCGTTTTCAAGACAAAGACTCCAAACTAAGGACCTACATTCAGTAACTCAATTTCAATCTACATTTAGATGGTATAAAGACATCATATATAACCGCAGTAACTATAGAATTGACAAAATATAGAAAAATGAATGATTTTCGATCGATGGAATTGAGTGAAACGTCGGAAACGTAGGAAAAATGATCGAAAAATGATTATTAATTTTTTTATCGATGTTCCACCACTTGAAAAAATCTGAAAAAATTTGAGTATATAGAGGAATATAAAATAAACAAAATAAGTTTTTTCAAGCTCGGAGTTATTTTTTGTTTTTTTTTTTTCAATTTTTAAAAATTAGAAACCGTTCTAAAAATTTGAATTTGGCGCCAAAAAATCTGGAAAAATTCTAGTATATAGATCTTTCTAAGACAAATTTTTTGCCGTTCAGCTGGTTCCGTTAGCTATTATAGAAGCCGAGTTATCTCAAAAAAACGGTTTGATCCTTTTTTGGACCTTCAGGGTGCCCCTGGCCACCTAGGGGTCTGAAAATTTGGTCAAAAGAGTTTCTAATCAAGCCCTACAAGATGCCATATTCCGCTTGGCTTAACCGTTGGGGGCAGTTTCGACCATCTTATCCGGCTAGGCCATTTTCAGTTGGCCTGTACATTTTTTTCAAATTGTCGTTGAACATTGTCCATAAGTCAGGCATGGGAGCAGCTTTGTCCTTTTCTGCGCAAGTGTGGCATGTATTAGCATCATCGAAGTGAATAATCAAACGAAATCTATAACCAATTGCTGCACGATAAATCGGATATCAGGTGATGTCACGGGCTGCCACGATCTACACAAATTCGTTTCCTTAGCATTACATTTGTTATAGACCTTCTTAGCTTTCTGATTAGTGTAACGTACAATCATATCAATCATTTCCACAGTTAATATTTTCTTAAATGTATCTACTATTGACAAAGTTTCTGTTGATTTATGTGGGCCGCTCTTTTGATGAACCTTATTATAACAAGGAGTTTGGCGGATGATAGGCACCGATTTCTCCCAACCAGTTTTATCCTTTGCTACATAATGATGTGCATTTTCGCTACCTGCTGCTTGATCCCCCGCTGACATAGTTGCAGCTGTATCCTCGGTATTGCTCTCATCAGTTTCACTGCTCTCTTCCTCCCTTCCAGAGGCCTCGCTATCAGTCGCTGCATCTGTGGTTGGCTCATCGGCTAGCGCGTCGCTTGGCAGCCAGTTTTCGTCATCGCTGTCTTCTTCAAGTCCGGAAGACTCCTTATCTTTCCCTAGCAGTTCATCTAGGTACTTTTTCTGCCTAGCACGAATCGTTTTAAATGTAAAAAAACAATTTCATTATTACAAACCGTTTATTATTACAATAGTGAGATTTAGAGGTTAGAGAGCGGAAAACCAATTTGAAAAGTTACAGAAATGATATATCAAAATAATGCTTACCTTTTGAATTAAGTAGAGGATAATTGCTCTTCCATAATGAAAAATTAATAATATTGTGAATAAACAATATTTTTCGATGCTAAATCAAACAAAATCGCCATTTACGCCAGCGTCGTGCCAGTTGAGCTCCAACGGTAAGCAGCTGCCTTTTCAAACTACGTCTTTCCCTTTCGAATAGACGCTTCCGACTGAGGTGCAGGTGCGTTTCTGCAGACTCGTATACTACTGTAGTATAGTAATGCTACTATACTATCATTCCAAAAACATTTAGCGCACCTACCGTCTGCTAAAGGCCAAAATTGACCTTAGCCCACCTGAGGAGCGCTCGAGGTCTCTGCTCCGATTTGTCTTTGCGATGTATAAGCCATGGTAAATGTCTTATAAATAACTCGAATACTTACCATGTATGTTTGTTTAATAAACTAAATCGATTTGAAATGATTCCATTCAAATCTGCGCTCAAAAACTTTAAAACTAGAGGTGGGCACTCGGGTACCCAGATGCGCATTAACTTCGACAAAGTTGGGTGCACACATAAGGGTTAAGTTATTCAAAGTCGAAAAAAAAAACATAAAATTCTGCCTATTAAAAAAAAGTTTCAATACGATTATTTTGATGTAATTGGAAGCCATTTGAAAATAATGCGAATTTTCATTTGTAAAGAAACACTTTTAGGGTTTCAACATTGCCATGGCACCACAGGGCTTGAAAAACGTTTTTGGAAAAAAGAAAAAACATGTGTCTTGTGATATTTGATGTAGATTATGACCTCGAAGTTTAAAAATAATCGAAGGTGTAATTTTTTTTGTTTGGTGAATCCATTTGGAATAGGCCATTAAATCAAATAATAGATCAAGAGTCAGATATTTTCATGTTCCACACTTCGTGTCTCTAAGTTTTCAAACTACTCTCATTGATAAATCTTATCTCGATTAAGTAGTAATACAACGGTATCTATTGACGTATTTATTTAGTATACTTCATATTCAGAGCAATTATTTTCTTTCTATAAATTCTTTCTATAATGTGTTATAAATAGTTTATAATTTATAATTTTTCAGAACTCAAAATGGCTTTTGATGCATTTGATCATGAAAAAAAAGGATGTATTGGAACAGATATGGTAGGTACAATACTTTCAATGTTAGGACATGAATTGAATGATGAAACATTGCGACAAATAATAGCTGAAGTCGATGTTGATGGTAAGAAAAATAACTTATAATGTATATTTTACAATTTAATTTCATAGAAGTCAATATTAGATATATATAAGAAGGCTAATGAGTTTCCGTATTGTATGAAATTGAATTTATAATAAAAAAATATTAAGTCAATCAAATCCTCAAGAAAAGGTTACTCTTCAGAAAACGTTATAAATTATTGTGACTTATTATTGGTGAGTCGGGGTTGTTTGAGACCCGAAGTTCTCACGAATTTAATATAATAGGCCAGGATATTCAAATGGATTTCCGTCAAGCAAACGAATAGCTTTGTCGTTTGCGTTAGGAATTTTCAAGTAACTGGATTAAGGAAATTTGCGTGTTTTGTATTATTATACTCGTACGCATTACCGATTAAAGTAATGCATCGGAGAACAATACTCTAGCTGCCTTCACTTTGGCCCAATAGAATAGGGTGTTTCAAGGTATTTCAGGCGATTTTCCTTGTTTAACGACGAAGTCAAATCGCACGTTAGCGGAGGTCGTCACGTCAACTCGCTAGGATGGCCAAAGTAAGAGTACACGACCAAGCTCGTCCGTTTTGAATATACTGTTTCCGCGTGCGATTCTTATTTACATTTTTCCCTAAGCCTATTATAAATCTGCGAACTAGGCCGGATCATTACTCTCTTAATTCTTTATTTGTATTACCGAGTTCGGTTATGTGTGTGTTACAACTGCCCCCCCCCCCAAAGACAATTGCAAGCGTAGATAGGAATTTTCTTTGCGCAAAAGAAAAAAAAAACAAGCGAACTCGAATAATATTTCTAATTATCTATACTATTTTCCGTGAATACATTAATATTAAATAATATATACAAACTATTCTACCGTATATTTCTTGCCTCCCTATTACAATGTTACATACTATACAAGGATTATAAAATGGATCGATATCAAAACAAATAAATTTGACTGTAAACTTTGAATTTCTCCTCGAAAGCCTGCTCAATCCATCTCATCATTTCCTGATATAAATAAGGGTTAGTTTCTGACTAACTCAGTTGATTTTTGGTAATCGAGATACCAGGATGCCGAAAGTTGAGCGAACCACTCAAATTACACCGTTCACCTCTACCCGAGATCTTGGGAAATAGGGGTCTTCTTGTGTGACTGCTGTAGTGCACGTAGAATCAGTTATAGTGAGAGGCTGTCCGTGTGTTGTTGATATATCAAAAATGACTTCTAATGTCCCGTTCCAGTCCGATTCTCTTAGATTTTATGAATCTGGAACTTATACTCAGACCAACTACATTTCACGGAATACGCAAACACCACAGGGTAAGAATTGGGCGTCCAAATATCGCAAACACAAGAAACATTCCGTAATAATGGATTCTCAACGATCTGTGAGATTCCACCCTTACGCACAAGCGAACATGGGCATGGCCTCGAACCGAGACGATCTCAATGATAACATTAAACTTATGTTATGGATGAAGAATGTCCATTTTCGCAATGTCCATCAAAATTTTGATTTCAATAAATCTCAATTATCAGTTTGCCTCAATTTACTTTGTCTTTTTTTAAACCTTGTATGCTAGTTCTTTTTATTCTTATATTACTTCATAATAGTTTAATTTTACGTACGAGCTTAGTTCTATCTATTAGTTTATTTTCACACTTCATTTTTTACAATTTTTTACAATTATTTCGCTCCTTATCAGTAAAGTATGGTTGGAGGTTTTTTGCGTGAAATTGTACTTTTTGTCGTCCCTCCTTGTCAGCTAAAATATATGTATCTATAAATAAATGTCAGTAAAATATATGTATCTTCTGAAATGTTTTTTTTATTACTAGTGGACCAGTATAAACTTCGAAGAATTTGTGTACTTGATTATCTTGCGCGCTTGATACATTTTCCATTTTCAACATTACTTTTTCATTTACGTTGTATAATTTATGTATTTTGTTGCTATTTTTTTCGATTTGCACGTTTGGTTAATAAGTTATGCATTTTTGTTTTTACCAAAAACAATTTTCATATGGTATTTGATCGACATTCTCTACCTTAATATATTTTTCCCATACTCTAGTCGGTTTTTTGTTAAAGTGCAATTCTATTGGTGTGTTTCCAGTCGTGTCATGGTATGTTTCGTTTATGATTAGACTGATTATATCTGTGTATCTCGCCCAGCTTTTATGCGCATCCTTCGCGTAATATCGTAAAAATCTGCTGATTTCTTTATAAATTCTTTTTACTATATCTGACTAAGAATGACGTATTGACGAGAAAATTAATTTAATACCTGAATTGGCCAATGTTTCTTTCCATCTTTTTGACGTAAATTGCGTACCACGATCAGACATAATTGCTAATGGTTTACCAAATTTTACTATATAATCTTTGAAAATTCTGTTAATTACTGCAATTGTATTTATTTTTATGATTTTGTATAACACTACATATTTTGAAAAGACATCAATTGTTGATAAAATGTATTTTACTCCGCCCGTCGATGTCCGTAATGGATCGTAAAAATCTATAGATAATATTTCATTCAGATTATTAGATAATATCGGTTGCATCAAATTATCGTATCGTATTGTTAAATATTTTGTCCGTTGACAACCTATGCATGATCTTAACAATTTTTTGATTCATTTGTGCAATTTCGGCCTGAAAAATGTTTCTTAAATCATTTTGTAAGTTTTAAATGGATCGATATACTCGTATGCCGTAAGTACATCCGTAATAAAATTTTCGAATATGATTTTTGGAATTACTATCTTGTTTCTCGAAAGTAGGTAAAGTAGGCAGGCCACAGATCAGGGGGGCCTCAGATCATGGAGGGGCCTCAAATCAGTGATCTGAAGTGCATGATCTATGAGATCAGCACTCTTAGGTCAGGCGCCCCCCTTTCTTCCTGAGATCTGCAGCACTCTTAGATCAGATGCCCCCGCCGCCGCCCCCTCTGTGCTCTGAGGCGTATGAGCTATCAGATCAGCACTGTTAGATAATGCGCAAGAGTCCCCCCCCCAGCACGCCCGTCCGTCATGTGAAATGCGTTTTAAATATTAAAATAAATTTATGTATTTAATTGAATTTAATTAATTTGATGCAATTAATTTACGTGCAATGCAAAGATTTAGTGAAAAAAATGAGCAGACACCACGGGGAATCAATCTCGCGTCCTACGGATCGATAGACCGTAGCGTCTAGCAAGTGAGCCACAGCTGCTTATTGCTCTTGGTATCTCTTATTGGATATATTAGGCACACACAACCTAAAAGCGACTGGACTACGGCGTCCCCCCACCGCGACTTCATCCGTATGTGTGCACGTGTTTTAAGATCGTGTATGTGTGTGTGCAACACATTGATACTTACTGCAAACCCGAAGGCCTGTGCTTGTTCAAGAGATAAACCATTACCGTGCTTGCCTGTCATGGTGAGTGCATTTTTATATATTATTAATTAAGTTATTATTAATTTATTATTATTAATTTATTATTATTTATTATTATTGATTATTATTTATTATTTATTCTTATTTTTAAGTATTATTATACAAATAAAAAAAAAATTATTAAAAACTTTGTCTAGTGTTTTTTCTTTTTCCCAATCAAATTTGCAGCAAAGTCAATAGGTAAGTATAAGGTAGGTATTTCTTAATTACCATTTCGTTGAAAGTTTGTCTTATTTTTATAAAAAAATTCTAATTATAAATACATAGCCACAAATTAAATTTTTTGAATAATCTTTACCAATTTTTATAGATTTAATTATATTATAGAATATGAATATTTATTAAAGATGATAGATATTAAAAATACAAAACATGCATAGTGACTAGTACTCTCTGAAAGAATGGCTACGGTTCAAGCGGCATAGCGTAGTCAAGCGAACGCATGAGGAGCGCGAGTTCGATTCCCCCCGTAGTATTGATATATATTTTTTTATTAATATTATAATTGTAATTAATGATAAATATTGTCTTATTTTTAAGAATTATTTATTTAAATATAATTAAATATTTGAATATAATTAAATATCCAAATATCTTTTTTCTGTTAAAGATTTATTCGATCGTTCTTCAAATGGAAGGGTATAAGGATATGACTATCGTGAAAGAATAAGTTGATATATAAAAAAATTTCAATTTATTTATTCATATAAAGAGTAAAACATCTTGTATGTAGATGGTTTAAAGTTTTTTATATCCTTCTGACTTTGATATATATTTGGTGTTGGTTGAATAATTTTCAGTGTATGATTTCCATTGCAAAGATGGTTGTTTTCTTATCATTAGCATTGGAACTTTTACTAATGTCGGGAAGACGTGTGTAAGGTACACTATTTTTCTGCCTAAAAATGATTACAACAAGCAAAGCACGTTATATTGATAGTTTAATCTTTAATGATCAACCACGAATAATTTTTTAAATACTTGTAGTGTCATCAAATTCTAATAATGGACTAAAGTGTTTACTAAAAATGTGTTGCCTTATATAGTCGATTATTTTGAATGGATAGAAAATTAGGGAAGTGGAAGAAGGGTAGGAAGCAGGTGGGGGTAATTTTTATCTACTTTATCTACTTTTCACGGTATAAAAATGGACTGAAACTCAGTGACAGTCGCATTTGACTATTCGCATCCAGCATGTTAGTATTAAAAAGAAGTGGTAAGAGCTTTATGTAACGCAACGTTTTCGTATGAAAAAGTGATATTCTGCAACGGTTATGAGCGAGAAAGTGATGGCCTACAGGTAACTATTTTTATTTGAAATTAATTTATATAGTTAATTTCTTTTCATCACATACATTTTTTTTTTCTAGATTTGAGCAAACGAGGCTGGATAGCTTCACTATTAAATGGTCTTGCGAGTATGTGCAACCAGCAGATCTTTTATTATTCAGGACAGATTGATCAGCGGGCTTTTATTATTCAGGACAGATTGATCAGGTACGCTGCTTTGAATGTGGCAAAGAAGTATGTAATTGGGAAGGAGATGACAATCCTATGACAGAACATCGACGAT